GCTCCTCGAAAAACTGCGTCGTCTCTCGTGACGTGTGTATCGAGGCGTTATCTTGCTGGTAGACATAATCCACACCGTAGTGTAAGTGAACAAAGGGCAGCAAGTACTCAGACACAGTGTATATATAGTGCGCAGAGGCTTGCCGCCCAATAAGCACCGCCAGCTCCGTCTTGCCCTTCGCGCTGAAGCTTCCCCACACCATCACGGATCCTCCACCATTCTGGCGGCGCACAGTTGACCTCAGAGGTCGACGAACGTCATGCCTATACTTTTTCAGCCCGTCAGGACCATCCAAATTGAATTTCTTTTCGTCAGAAAATACAATGCAATCCCACTCCTGTGCTGACCTAATCACCATGTCCTTGGCCCACGCGAGCCGGGCGGTCTTGTGCGCAGTCGTCAAGGCAAGCGTGTTCTCCATTTTGGAGTAGACGAGCCGATCGACACCAGCGAGAAGACGACGGATCGTGCGCACCGAGCAGGTCGCGTTGCAGTCGGTCTGAAGCTGCGAGGCCGAGAAATCTCCGGAGGCAGCTCTCTGCAACAGCCGGCGCACCAGTCTCTCCGAGACGATGGGCTTGCGGCCTGGGCGTGGCTTGTTAGCGGGGCGAGGCAACAGTGCGCGCTCGACCACGTCTCTTGAGCGCTTGACCTTCCTTGAAATAACTCGCAAAGACAGACCTGCCTCGCGAAGCCCTTGCACTCGTCCTCTCTCTTCGTCACTCAGCCACGGTGCCATGCAGTGGCAATTGAAAAACTATGGCGCTCAGCCGTTAAGACAACGCGCGAAGCCGTTCCAGAACGGCTGGAGGGGAGTCACTGCTCCGACAAATCTGTACCCATTTCGTTTTGTATAGTGATTTGTATGGGATGCTGGTGGCCGAAAGTTAGGACCGTAGTGCTTAAACAAAAGTTGTATGCGAACTACGCTACAAACCGCAAAAACTAGAGTGCTAGCACAAGTAGTCTTTGTCACCATACAACACAAATAACATATCAAAAGCTCACTTTCTAACGCTAAAAATTGGCCGAGTTATCGACCAAAACGTGGGTGGTCGGTTTATTTTGACCGGTAGTGTAACTAAGTTTAATTATCTATCTACATTATCATATACAGCATAATTTTAATTGATAAATTACAATATTTTTTGCAGCATTTTTGGTTTTTAAAATAAATTTCGTGAATTCCATTTTATTTAAATATTATTTATTTATTTTAAATAAATAGATAGTATTTAAAGACCTCTGCCAAAACCGGGTACGACCAATCATCGCGTGTCAAATTGTTCAGTTTACTTCGTACGTACTTTTTTATTCAAAAAGTACTTTGTATATAAAATGGTTTCGGACCACTTTTGATCTTTTTTTATTATGGTGGGCTACAAGCTATGAGCAGTCAAGGCAAGAACTTTTTTTTCAGAAAAAGTGCTTTATGACATTGTCAGGTACACGTCGCTTCAACGCCCGCGTCGATTGGTCTCCGAAATGAAAGTAGGTTATTAGAAGCTCTTCGAGCAGCTCTACCCAACTCCACCATATTCGCATCCGCTTCGCAATGCCGACGATCACCGTGAGCGAGGGCAGTCCGCTTCTATCTGGACGTCGAAGCCATGCTGTCAGCTCGACGTCCACGCCTCGCTCGCCCTTCGAGACGGGCTTCCCCACTCTCTTCACGTCTCCGACGCCATCGCCGCGGCCACATCGCCTGGTCTTCAACAAGCCACAACCACGCCACCGCGAACTGCATGTCTTTCTCACTCTCACCATGTCCACAGTGGGCGCCGGTATGCTCTCGGTTCCTTACACGTTCCTGCTGGTTCCGACGTGGGCCGCACTGCTGGGCGTCATCATCGTGGGAGTCGGAATGGCACTGACAGCCAACGCGCTGCTGCTCGCACACGTGCAACTGGCTCAGAAGGAGGAAGAACAGCAGCATATCGGAGCCGGCAGGAGATTTGCGTCGTTCCAGGCCATCGCCGTCGCGGCTGGAGGTGAAGCGTTGGGCTACGCAGTGTCGATTATCACGGCTATCGGTATCTACGGAGGCTGCGTCGGCTGCGTCCGCATTGTGCGTGACATTGCACCTTTCCTCGTTGTCATGTTCTATCGAATCATTGTGGGGGCGAACGCAGAGCCAATACAGTCATCCACGGCTCACCAGATCGGAGACTATGTCATGTGGGCGGTGTTCGTCGTCGTCGTGTTCCCACTGTGTCTGATGAAGAATTTGACCAAGTTGCACATTTCCAGCTACCTGGGCTTTCTGTTCTCAGTGTATCTGGTCGTGGCTGTGATCTACCGATCGTATCACGCCTTGGACCCGAGAGACAGCGACGTTGATAGTGTTGATGGCAACAGCACTGCGGCATACGCTGGTACCATCACTGCAGCGGCAAACGCTGCGGCCGAGGAAGCGGCGGCTGCTGCGAAGATGCCAACGGTGATAACTGGATCGATTCTATCGAGGTTTGCCCATGCGGTCTCGATCTACAACTACGCGTTCATGATGCACTTGAACCTGGTGCCACTGTTTATCCAGCTCCGTGGCAGCTTCTCCGAGACTCTCAGAGAGTCGAAAAGGAAGATGTCGCACTGCATCTACGCGCTCAGCGCGTTTTGCGTGGTTTTCTATGCAGTTTTCGGATACTTCGCTGAGAAGCTGTACACTGTGACAGTACGCGGCAACGTGTTGCTGAACCTGGAGAATGATCCGCTGATGGACATTCCGCTGGTTGCTGTGTTCAGTACGGTGGTGCTGTCGTTCCCGCTGCTGTTCCACCCTTTGCGTGGTGTGTTAGAGGAGCTGATTTTCACTACCAATCTCGACGGGATCGCGTTTGCAACTCGTTTAGGTAGTTCAACGATCCTGCTGCTCTCTCAAGTGCTGCTAGCAATCATTGTTCCTGGTATCGAAGTGGTCTTCGGCCTCACGGGTGCAAGTACCTGCTTCATGATCTGCTTCGCCTTCCCAGTGATCTTTTTCTCCAGACTGTATCCCTGGGATCAAGTACGAAACGGTAAGCTGTGGATCACAGCGTTGTGGATCGTTGTAGCGTTCTTCATGGTGATTGGCATATCTGCTACTTGGTTTCTTCTTTCGGAAGGTTAAGTTTGATTTACTACTAGTATTTTTTTTATTGAAATGCTGCATAACAGCTTAAGGAAAATGCAACATGTAGTTTAATTTTTAAGTACCGTTTAATCGGACGTTTGAGCTTCTAAAGCTGCGACCCACAGATGCTTACCAGAACGCGATAGCGCACGTCTATGGTTGGGATCACTCAGTCCTCTATCTCTTATCCTGCATCCAGCTGAATTGCTTCCATCATTGATCGACGATACACTTGCACGCTTCGTTCTGCTGCTCCGAGTGGCAACAAGCGGTTTGTATACTTCGGATGAGAATGTGGACTCTACAGCCGCGGAGAAGGAGAACTCTGAGCTCATCGAATGAGGCTCAAAGGCCGAGAAATCTGCCCATTCTTGCTCGCCAGCCTCAGGCTCTTGGTAGGCACTAAGACGGTGTTTTTTCGAGGATAACGTCTTCATTTTTTCAGACGGCTGCTTTTGAGGAGACGGGTTAAGAAGCTGGTTAATACACAAATGTACACCTTCGAGCTTCGGACGTTCTGCCAGGTCTGGAGTGAGGATCCACTTGATTAAAGCCGTGAACGTCGCACTAAAAGACTGCCCACCGTGCATATTACCATGAGGAAATGCCACATAGCCATTAGCAATCGCAAGGTGCTGCACGCCGTCTCGAGGATGCTCGAACGGGGAGAACGGACCAAAAGCCATGGCATACAGCACACAACCCAGGGACCAAACGTCCGCTCGTCCATCGATCACGTCCACCTGATCTCCCGTATCCCACAACTCGGGAGCGCGATACGGAGCGCTGCTGTATCTCGCAGCGTCCTCCCACAGCTTCCTGCAGCCCATCGCCCCTCTTAATTGCACACGAACAGGAGCGACGGAGCCAAAGTCCATCAATAATGGCTCCATCGGCTCTCCGTCACTTAGCAAAATATTGCCAGGCTTCAGATCGCGATGAGCAAAGCCCAGAGCGTGCAATGCAGCGACTGCATCCACCAACTTGGCAAAGAATTGCAGACACTCGATCTCCGTGAAGGCCGCAGTTTCTCTACTCGCTGTATTTTCTAGTAGCGTCTGTAGTGAGCCTCGATGGGCCAATGGAAAAAGCAGAAGCGCCTCTTTCTCTGTATGTCCCTGAATTCTCCTAACTTCTGCAGCCTCGAGCGGCAATACGTTTGCATGTTGAAGTTGTCGCTGCACTTGGATCTCCAGCAGGATCCGCTCGAGTTCCTCGCCCTCCGTCACGCTGCGCGTCCACTTAAGTGCGAAGCTGTGGCCATCTCGCTTGACCTCGTACACGTGAGCGAATCCTCCTTCGTCCAGAGGCCTCAGTACCTCGTACACTTTGCCGTTCACGCGTGCAACGGCATTCCCCATCTTTGCGTCGGTTCAGGAAATAGTCCCAATTGGTGCATTATTTTTTTTATTCGCGGACTATTCTATTGATTTGCATCCTCTGGAAGATGGCTACGTGAGTGCCAAATGGCTGCGTGCAGGCTTCTCTACTAATGCTGCTGTGTAGGTTGCAGTCGTACGCCGCGCTCAACGCTATAGCCCGTGACAAACTGGGCCAGGTGCTGTCCCGCGTGCTGGACAAGATGGCCGCTAATGTACGCTAGGAGAGAATAGAACTGGATACAGATCTAATGTCCATATTTTCTGTCAATGTAGGAAGTTGAGGTGTTCACTGTTGACGAGAAGGACCAGCTCAAAGCGATGCTGGCACTGTCAGACGCGCAGATCGACGAGACGGTCGCAGTAGCCAAGGAGGTCTTTCAAGACGCGGCCGCGTTTGGCCAAGTGGATCACAACCTGCTGCTGTCGCGTGGTGTGGACACCGACGTCGTGTCTGCCGTGGAGAAGACGTGGAGGAAGAGAGGACGCTCGCTGGCAGTGAAGATCGCAGCGCTTCAGACGGTGGAGATGCCCGCGTTGACGCTCCAAAAGACCGACTGGCGTCTGCACCTGGAAATGGGGAGCAGCAGGCGCAGCGGACAGTCGCAACCGACAGCCATTTTCCAGCTAGAGCTGGAGGAGGAGGTATGGCGTAGTGCTGTTTCTGAGTGGCTTAGAATCGGATCTAACATTGCTACTATTCTGCAGATGAAGGGATTGGACGTGGAGTTGTCGCACTCAGAGCTGCGGGCGCTGTTTCTACAGCTCAACGCCATTCAAGCGGAGCTAGACGCGCCGCCAACGCCGTCTGCAGCGTAAATATACATAATGCAGAATTTGTTGAGTACAACGCCGTCGCTAATATATCCTATGCTTCCTTCAAAGCGACTTAGGAAGAGTTCAGTGGTGAGTTGTCTGGTTAATATTTTTTTACGAATTATGTTGTTGGAGATCATGCAGCAAATGCAGATACAGTAGCGGAATACGGCGACTTGGATGTCACGAGGTGTGCGCTTGGACGTATTGAAGTGGCTACATAAGAACCACAGTGAAGAATGCTTCGCTTTTGCGATAGCTTGAACAGCAGAATGTGGTCACTTGGACGTTGTTAAAAAGTTGCAGCCAACGCACAACTTGGGCAGCTGAATAAAATCGTGAGGAAGGAAGAACATGTACGTACCACCGAAGATATGCTGGGCCGTAGAAAACGGCTACTGTGTCGTTGTGCGATGGTTACAAGACAATCGCGAGAGCTTTTCAATGGTGAGAGCAATTGTTGCAGATCATTTCGACGTGATGCTGTTCCAGCATTGAGTACATCGATGAAAACCAACTGCGCTTCAGGTGACGTGATCAAAAAGCCGCGTTTGAAGTTGGTACCATGGTGTCTCGAAGCCAAATTCGTAGAGACTGGGGCGTATCGTGTCGAGTCTCTTGGGGAGATTGGTATTATACACGAACGAGAGTGGTTCCATCGGCAAAGCTAACAGAAGAGCAAGCACGAAATATGGAAACACTATTCGAACACATTTTAAAGCAATTCATAACAACGGATTATTTTCGCGTTGCTGGTTACAGTGCTCTTGTTGGTCGACGCACTCATCATAGGATCACCTTGAAATGGATTTGTGCCTTCAACTTGAAGCGCAATTCCATTCTTACCAATCTTCCACCCTTGCTGGCGTATCTGGTGAATATCTTTGGGCAAGCCACTCCAGTGCCTTGACATCCCCGCGATCCATCGCCAAAGCAGCAACATTGTTCACCATCCACATTCTATACGACGGGTATTCAGCCTCCTTCGATTCCCTGAATGCAACGTACTGCATGCACCGCAAACTCCCTGTGCGGATGTAGGCTTCAGCAAGAGGCCAACCACGTGGAAGTTCGCTCAGATAGTCGTCGATTCCTCGCCAGACATGAGGCAGGTCGATTCCGTGCAGCTGAAGACGCTCGCGAACCACAAAGCCAACCACCGTCAGCAAGACACACGCTTTGTCAACACCAGGAGACGAGGATGCCTTGGGTTGCATCTCCCTCAGCCCAGGACAACAGTTGATGAGTGCGTTCTGCGAAGCCACCCTCCAGAGGATTCCCCTCTGAACGACCCGTTTCAATGAAACCTCTTCAACGATGGATTCCAGTCTACAGCGCGTTTTTCACGACGTCATTATTCGTTTCATCACAGAGAACTCAAGCGGTGATGACATTCAACGGAGAGGCCGACGAAGTGCTTCTACTTACTATTGTGCAGTTCGTAACACGCGAATGTATCCATGTTCGTGGCATTGAACTCGAGCATGTATCGCGTGCTATCGACGACTATGTGAACGAACTCCCGCGAGATTGGACGCTTGAAGATGTGTATAAGAAGACGCGCAGCCTACGCTGCATGCAATATTTTGCTGCTCGAGAACGGGAGGTATGGCCGATTTCGTACCAGACGTGGCTTGTCAACAATGTTGCTGAAATGGCTGTAAGGTGTGGGGATGTTGAGGCTCTAAAGTGGCTTACCGAACGGTACGCCCCAGACGCATCAATGGACAAGGCAGCAATTGTTGCGGCTCGACTAGGACGACTTGACATTCTGCAGTGGCTGTACCAGAGTCACATGTCTAGAGTTCATTGGGGTGGTGATGAATGGTGCGAAGCTGTCCGAGGAGGTCATAACGACGTCGTGAAATGGCTACATCACCATGTACAACCCCACACAGAAGCAGCACCACAATTGATCCGAGACGCGGCGAGAGCTGGAGATCTTTCTCTCGTTCAATGGCTCCACAAGATCTACGAGCTCCCTCTTTCGAGTGCGTTGGTAGAAGCGGAGAAAGGGTGTCAATGGGGAATTGTGAAGTGGATCCTTATGAGCGGAAATGTGGAAAACCCGAGTGTTGACATGGATGCCATCGCTGCGGATGGCGACATCCGCTTTCTGCAATGGATACACATACGAGGCGTTGGTAGCCCAGCTACTTCTCATACTCTCGAGGTGGCCGCTTTCAATGGATACTTGAATGTTCTCGAGTGGCTTCACGATGGTCCTACCAAGCTCAGGTTGAACGCCGCCGTTTTTAGAGAAGCAGCACGAGGTGGACAACTGGAGGTGTTGAAATGGCTACATGACCGCCAATGTCCTGCAACATCCGCAGCAATTGAAGCTGCTGCCGAGAACGGCTTTCTCGAGGTCGTTCAATGGCTCTACGTCAACAGAAAGGAGACGTGTTCTTCTCGTGCACTTGATCGAGCAGCGCGCAGTGGCCACCTAGACGTCGTGAAGTGGCTACATGAGACTGGAGAGAACTTCTATTGTCCTGCAGCCATCAACAGATCTGCCGAATTCGGCCACCTCGACGTCGTGAAATGGCTGCACACCCACCGAACTGAAGGATGTAGCACCGAGGCTTTGGACTGTGCCTGTCATCTGGGCCATTTAGACGTAGCGAAATGGCTATACGCGCATCGAAGTGAAGGCTGTGGGAAATGGACGATGGACTTGGCTGCAGCGTGTGGTCATCTTGGCGTAGTAAAATGGTTGCACGAAGATCTTCACCAATCGTGTACAACTTGGGCTATGAATAATGCCGCTCGTCAAGGATATCTGGACGTGGTCAAATGGCTACACTTCCACAGAACAGAAGGATGCACGGCCGAAGCCATGTCATCAGCAGCGGCAAATGGACATCTCGATGTAGTGAGATGGCTACATTGGAATCGTACCGAAGGCTGTGACTCTACTGCAGTGAGCCGTGCCATCACTGGAGGGCACCTTGATGTTGCAGTGTTTCTTCACCAGGAGCGAGAGATCTCGTGTTCATTCCGCGACGACGTCACTCTCCGTGGACTCCGGTGGGAATTGGTGCAGTGGTTGTTTAAAACATGCCGCAACGAGCTCAAGCAAGTCATCAAGTTTCAAGTTGCTCGAAGCGACTGGCACTTCAATGACTGGATGCGTGGCCAAGACATGCATCTTGTTACTCAGAGCGACACCCACGTAACCTGGAAATGGAGTCCTCGCCCGTAGGGTATGCGCATTGGAACCTGGTAATATCACGACGAGAGTATCCGCTGGATGGGTACCAAGTTGATCACGTCGGCCGTCCGTACTGACTAAAAGACTACAGACTTCGAAGTAGGCGAAGCAACAGATCATCAGTTTGGCTAATACTCCCTCCCTCCTTCTCAATAAAGCTCTGTTGTCTGTCGCAGTATCTTATGCAGTTCAGTTCGGCTCACAATCACTTTCATCTTCCACCACGCACAATCTCCGCTCAAAATGGAGTTTTCAGACGACCCCCTGCTTTGGACGAGCGTTGTCGTCGTGTATCGCGAGTGTCTCTTGAAGCGCAGTGGAGAGCAGCTCCCGCATGTGGTCCAACATATTGACGGCTTCTTGGATCGCACCCGTTCATGGACATTATCTGAGGTCTATGAGCGTACATCGAGTCTGCATTGTATGCGACTGTTGGCAGATCGACGACCTGCAGTCGATTCGCTCTTTCGCGAGTGGGAATTCAGTGGCGTCGCGTCTCTAGCTGCCAAGCGCGGAGACCTGACGTCTCTAACCTGGTTGGCAGACACCGCTATGCCTGATGGGGCGTTGTCTTCGGCGGCGAACGCGGCTGCTGCGAGTGGGCAACTGGAAGTTTTGAAGTGGCTAGTTGAAGAGCACAAGAGCAGAGTTCATTGGGGAGGTCTGGAGTGGTGTGAAGCTATCCGTGAGGGACAGAACCACGTGATTAAGTGGCTACAGATGCATTCGATCCCCGATGAAGACGCGGTTTGGAGGCTGGTAGTTGAAGCTGCTAACGCTGGAGATTTAGTGCTGGTGCAGTGGTTGCTATCACATAACGGATCCACAATACACGCTGCGTTACGGGGAGCATACAACGGCCATCACTGCCATATCCTTAAGTGGCTGGCGACGCAATGTGATGCTCTGCCGCCAACGTATTGTGTCGATGCTGCAGTCAAGGATGGCGACCTAGAATTTCTACAATGGCTACATGAGAACAAGCTCGTGAACTCTTTATCTGGTGTTGTACCTATTTCAGCTGCTAGTGGACATTTGAATGTACTAAAGTGGCTTCACGAACAAGGTGAAGAGCTGACTGCGGACTGCATGGATCAAGCGGCTAGTGGAGGACACCTGGACGTTATCAAGTGGCTGGACTCTCACGAATGCCCCGCAACTAAACTTGCTATGGATGGAGCTGCTGCTGCAGGATATCTCGATGCGGTGAAATGGCTTCACAACCAGCGAACAGAAGGTTGCTCAGTGTCTGCAATGAATGGAGCTGCCGAGAATGGTTTCCTTAAAGTGGTCAAGTGGCTGCACTCAAATCGTGACGAGGGCTGCGGCGTGTCTGCGATGGAGAAGGCGGCTGGAAATGGTCACTTGGATATTGTTCAGTGGCTGCATTCACATCGCAGCGAAGGGTGTACGGAGAGGGCCATGGATTGGGCTGCCAAAGGAGGCCACTTGGAAGTGGTAAAATGGCTACATCTGAACAGGTCGGAAGGTTGCACGACTGCTGCCATGAACTGGGCAGCTTACGGTGGACATTTGGAGACTATGAAATGGCTTGATGAAAACCGAAGTGAAGGATACACGACTAAGGCGTTGTGTTTGGCCGCTGCTGGTGGTCATTTGGAAGTTCTCAAATGGCTACGTTCGACGAAAAACGAGCGGCTGACGTCCGACGTGGTAGATATGGCTGCATCCAGTGGACATTTGCAAGTTTTAGAATGGCTACATGCTAGTGGTGCAGACGAGTGCTCGCCGACTGCAATGAGAGACGCAGTGTTGGGACATCACATCCCAGTGATTCTGTTCCTGTACAACAACTATCAACACGATATCTGCGAAGAAGGAATTTGTTTCTTACGCGATGAGTGGGAAGATCTGGAAGTTCGTTTCGTCGAAATGGCTCAGTGGCTACTCGATAAATACGGAGATGCACTCGAAGGTGTCAGTTTTGCAGTCAGTCGAGCAGACTGGGCCACAAACAAGTGGATGGAGGAGCATAACATGCAGCAAGTGGACGTGGAAGACAAATTCATTTATTGGGAATACAGCTCGGCGCTGTAGCAGGTAAATTTCTGTACTTGAGTGAGAAATGTAACTCTCTCGTTGATCCGCGTCAGTAATTTATCAGCTACAATATGAGAAGTAGCCAAACACACGTGGCACCTTGGATGATCACAATAGCCACAACCGTCCACAACATTGCAAGCCAAATAAATCCGTGACGAATGCGACGCCAAGGGTAGACGTTTGTGAAGGCGATAACAGGGAAAACGTAGCAGATAACCAGGCAACTTGTAGCCCCCATGAGCGAAAACACAACCTCGATACCAGACACATTGAGTGCAATCACTTGCTGACTGCACAGTAATGCCAACACAATCGCCAGTCGAGTAAGAAGAGGATATTCACTCTGACCATCATTCTGTTTTTCGTCTGAAAATTGCCCATACTCGAGATCGTCCGATTTGAGTATCTGACCCAATAATTCCTCGACCAGTGAGCGTAGCGGGAGGAAAAGCAATGGGAACGTGAATAATACGGTCAAATACGTTGCAACGAGTGGGATTTTCATGACTGGGTCGCTTTGCAGGTTCAGTAAAATGTTGCCGTCGATGTGATCGCCATAGAGATCAAACGCGGCACAGCCAATTGCACCGTAGAGAACTGCACAGATAAATGTCGACCCGAAGATACATTTCATCATTTGAGAACGAGTAGCCAAGAGTGGGGGCGCCGTCACGAATGTCGTGAAGTTTCTCATTGCCCCACCTCTTCTCATGTTGCTACCACCATTGGCTTTGAGAAGTTGCACAAATAATGGCAACAAGTTGAGTGTCATCATGAATGCGAAATTGTAGATGGAGAGCGATTGAGCTAGTCGAGTAAAGTCGTTGCCTTGAAGAGGAGACGAGTCTGAAGCTGTAGATATATTCTCCAGTGATCCAGTTGCCACACTACCGGACACTTGCGCCTCGTTCGTTTGATCAGATTCCAGAGGTTCGACGGCTGTAGGGCTGTATCCTTCGAGAGAGCGATAGACTACAGCACCCACAAGGTAAATTGACAACACGAAACTCACGTAGTTTGTAGGCTGAAGTGCTGACAGTTTGCGAAGCATACACAATGGCAATAGCACCACTGCTAGCAACGCCCACATAACGATCTGCTCGACGTTTTCTTGTCCACTTTCAGTCAATTCATTGACGTCGCTATCCACCAGTTTAACCACAAAGGGAGTCAAGTCGCGGATAATCTGGATGTTGCCCACACAGCCGCCGTAGACACCAGTTGCCATGATCAACGACACGGCGTAACCGAGTGCTGGTCCTCCTGCACGTCGGGCCAACGCTTGGAACCCGACAAATTTACTGCCAGCTCCCAGTGCGTGCGCTTCGAACTCCGCTCGCGCTGCTGCGTGTACGTATGCGTGCAGTAGAGCGTTGGCCGTGCACGACATGGCTGCTCCGACAAAGATAATACCAGTGATTGCCTGCCAGGTTGGCACGAGGACCAGCGTGTAGGGCACAGAAAGCATCCCAGCGCCGATGATCGACATCAAGAAGCCCATGAACACATGAACAGCTGCGAAGCGGTCCTTCAGCGACCGCTTTGGCTGGCGTTTAAGACTTGACGTGGCTTCTGGCAGTCGCGGAGGCAACGAGCGCGTGCTGGAAGCAGGTGACAGCATCGGCGAAACCAACATCTTTGCGTTCAAGTTGAGGAATGGCAACGCCTTCGAGGCTGCTGGTCTGCTCGGTCATCAGAGGACCAGGGTCTACTGGCTGCATCTTGGGGTCATCTACGTGTAGTAGATGATTCGACCAGCGGAAATCAAAGGCGTAATTAGCTCGGTTGTCCTCGTGTTAGCGTTGACTGTAGCTTAGGCGATACCCTCGGTGTTTTCTCATCTATCATCACTCCGGTAGTCCCGGCACTGCATGTGCGCTCGTGTGAGGAGGAGCCCCACTCCAAGAAAGGGCTCGCTCGTGTCTCCGCTACGTTGTCAGCCAAAATGTCACGTCCAGATCAGAATCAAAACCAGAAACAACGTTCAGCGAAAACAATCTGTGACGTGTGTGATTTTCGAGAATGAATGTTCTTTTTTACGCCAATGAAGGTGCATAGCCCTCCAACGAGCTCATTTTACGTTTTTCATTCCTGAATTTTCAACTCTGTTCGCAAACCCATTTTTGCCAAGATGACGAGCACCTGTCCGTGGGGCGTTCCGGCGACGGAGCCAACGAAGCCGCAGCCGAGTATGCAGGATCTGATGGACGAGGCGTTGGCTCTCAGTCTCTACGAGGAGGAGGTCAACGCGTTGCAGCGAGAGATCAATCCGGAATATCAGAGCAGCGTCTTCACCAACCTGCAACGCAACAAGGAGCGTCGTGAACAGGACCGCAACAAGGAACTACTGAACGCCGACAGCTTCGAGTTTGCCGTTGAGGCCTCGGGTGAGAGCGCAGTCGCTCCCTCCGTGCTGACGCGTACACCTGCTGCTGCCGCGGGCGCCGCAGCACTGGCACGTGCCCGTGTGAACGGCTCCTTGTCGATGGAGGACGCCGCGCACGGAGCTGGAAGTGGTAAGGGCTTCACGTCACTCCGGGAGAGTCAAAGACGCCAACATAAGAGCGAGAAGAAGGGATTTGGTGCCGGACGCGTGGAATCCGAGTCGCACGCCACGACGGACGGCGTCATGGACGAACGCACCACTTTGATCCTGCAGAAAATGATCAACCGAGGAGAACTGGACGAGGTCCACGGTTGCGTGCAGAGTGGCAAAGAGGCACATGTGTACTTTGCCATGGGCACAGATGAAGCCACGATGCGACCGGTACAACTGGCCGTCAAGATCTTCCGCACCACGTTGAACGAGTTCGGCAACCGCCACGAGTACGTGACGGGGGATCGTCGCTTCGATCTCAACTTCCAGAAGAAAGATCTGCGTCGACAGATCAAAGCCTGGACAGACAAGGAGTTCCGTAATCTGTGTCGTGCTGCCAAGTGTAACATCCGAGCTCCAGCTCCGATTGTGTGCAAGGAGCATGTGCTGGTCATGCAGTTTGTGGGAGCCGATGGATGGCCTGAGCCAACGTTGAAGGATGTGCAGGCGGACTTATCGCCTAAGCAACAAGCCCGTGCATATGCTGACGTCCTGCAGGCCACGCGAGCTCTGTTTCAACGCGCGCACTTGGTTCACGGCGACTTGAGTGAGTACAACATCCTGTTCGCACACCGCGAGAAGCGCATTTGGCTCATTGATTTCGGACAGGCCGTTGACCGTTCACACCCGGATACGGAGAAATTGCTACGACGAGATCTGCACACGATCAACCGGTTTTTCCAGCGTGGAGATCTGCTCGAGGCTACAGCTGATGAAGTTGGTCTTCTGTCCGATGACAAGGCGTACGAGTATGTTGTCAGTGAGACGCCGAAGGATGTCGTGGCAGTCTTCCCGATACTGGCAGCACTGTTGGAAGAGATGACTGATGAGCCTGAAGAGGAGGAAGAGGCTGAGGAGCAGGAAACAGTGCAGAAGGACCGTTGTACTGCTAATGAGGCTCAGACTATTCCGGAAGCGCAGAGTTCAGAGGCTACACAATCAGATAGTTTGCTGGAACTGTCGAAGAGCGAGTGCGATGCACTATGACTCAGCATTTTGTCTGCAGATTGTGCCCTACAGCTATCTTAACATGAGGAATAAATGATGAACAGCACTTTAATTGCATTTCCGACACAATACCGGCGCTTTCCACCCTATCAGCCGAATGTCTCCTTTGAAATAAAAAAGGATGCGAAAAAGTAGAATGTTTGAGATGTCTATTATTCGTGGTAGTTAACAATAGGGACATTTTATTTCATGTATTCTTGAAGTTTGCATTGAAAAGTCCAACAAGGACTTGGGCGCCGTCATTTCAACGTTTTCTCTTTTCGAGAACCAAGCAACTTTTCTTCCACTCTACTCGCTCAAGCTACCATGACGATGTCACCCACCGTCTTCATCTGGATGCTCTCCTCCTTTTTCCGCTGGATCCTGCGCCAGCTGATGCCGACTTCACGCTCCAAAATTGCCCATGCATCGACGTCTTCGCTGCTGGTGGCCGCGGCGCCAAAGTCAACCGGTAAGTATTTGAACCTTGTTTTGTTTGTGGTGCTCAACTAACCATTTTCTCTCGTACTAGCAGCTAGCTACTTCGAGACAACCGACGACGACCACCTACTGGGCGCTCTCCATTCCGACTCCGACACGGACGTGGAGGACAGCTCCACGGACCACAACGACGCGCCGGCGAGCTCCCTCGTACGTTCAAGAATCGCCTTCTTCGAGGCGCGCCCGGCTTCCGCTACGCCAGATACCATCCATGCCCGCGACATCTCGCCGGCCCCAACCTCACGCTCCAGCGTACGTTCAAGGATCACCTTCTTCGAGACGTGCTCGGCAGAGGCTGACAGCTCCAAGGACTACAACGACACGCCGACCCCGACGCCAGACACCAGCTTACGTTCAAGGATCGAGTTTTTTGAGGCGACAACCACTGGATCGACGGCCACGACCCGATTACCGACAGCTTCTGGATCGGCGATTACCTCGACAACCACGACGACTTCGACGGGCACCACCAATTTGACGCTGGCCGAAGCAGATCCAACGCCCCACAGAGCGGCCGAAGCCAACCCTGCAACGGCCCCAGTCCAAGCGATGTCAGCAGTCGACCAAGATCAAGAGACCCCAGTCCACGCGCCAGCCCCACCACGCCACCAAGTGAAATCGCGCTTCATGCAATATGACCCGGCCTTCCGTAGGCGCTGTGCAGACGCAAGCAGGCGCCGTACTTCACTCGCTCAGCAAGCAAGCCTTGTTACTTGAAAGATCTAGATATCTAAGCAAACTTTCTGTGTACATTTAGTATCTCCATTTCACCGTTTCGTTCTTCATTCTTGTTATACCGCCTTATATTCATCTCCATCTTGTGTGCTTGCAGGTCTTATCAATTGAAGTGTTGTCCTTGATGTCGGCAGGCGAAGATGATATCATGCCACAGATATACTTTTTCGGTCTTCTCCTTCTAGAAGTAGGATAGTTCGGCGAGCAGAAGAGAACTGCCAGCCAGCAAGCATCCAGCAAGACAAGATGCAGCGAGAATTTCTTGCACTGAGCTTCTCTCGACTGCCAGCAGCAGAACAAAACCAATCCAAAATGTAGCAAATTACAATGGTTAAAGTATGTTGTGAACTACTGATGCAAACCTATAATTCCTCGCTCGTAGAAGCACCTGCGGCATTGGATGCTCCTTCGCCGTCCGATTGCCACTGTTGCCAGTTTACGGTGACGAAGTAGCCATCTGAGTGCTTGAGTAGCTTGAAATCCGGGCTACTCATAGCAGGCACACGCTCTATCTTATCAGTCCCTAGCCTGGTGCTCGCCAAGTTGAGAGTGGCAGAATGTTGCTCCTCGCGGATGGGGCCTTGATGTTCGAGTCCAATGCAGTCTGCACTACAATTTGTACCTGCCACGTATAATAGCTTTTGTCGGTATCTCGCTAACGCGCTTCAGTCAATATTTTAGACGTCAGATTAGCTGCCCAAGAGATGAACGGGGAAATTGGAACTGCTGACACCAATCAACATACTGAAGGAGAGCGATGACCACACGATATGAAGACAGGAAGCCACTGTCCCTCGCTACATATCCCTCATCGAAGATCAACAACGAATACACTACGTAAGCAAGAACAGCATGCAGGGCCTCGCGCAGCTCGGGCGCTTGACGTGGCGGCGAGCTCGCGGCTTGTTGCAGTGGAGCTCCTCGTCACCGGCTTGACAGTTGAGCAGTGGCCGTATTTTGGACCAATGGTCTCACCGTATGCGATAGTGGTACAACGCTGATCTTTTTGTGTACCGCCTCAAGCTTGTAATACGCTATACTATTCACTTATTCGATACACAAAATGCTGCATACCTACGATTACGATATGACTAAACTTGTATAAATTGATATTTTACGTTCGATTGGTGTAACGGTCCGAATGTATGCAAACGAATCGTCCAAGCAGCGTCCGACTATCAAATCAGCAGGCACCGCCCTCGTGCATCTCCTTGCACGCGCTCAACGTTTGGCCCCGAGGCCATGACGACGTCAACCGAATCTGAAGGTTGGAGGCAAGACATTCTCGAAAGCTCCGGCTGCTCACCACGTCTCGTTCAGCAATATCCGCAACATGAGCCAGCGCTTGTCGGTCTCACGAGCCTCTGTGTCAAACCCTCCGACGCCCGTGGTGGGGCCCACCAACGCAGAAGACAATGACCCCACATCAGCGTCCAAGCGTGGCTCAGTGTGGCAGTGGGTCGTAGGCTGCGCCTTCCTCGTGTGCGTGGCCATCATCTGGAACTTCTCCAGTGTCCTCATCCAGTACATCTTCAACGACTTGTCCTTCGAGGCTCCATTCTTCCTCACATCCTTCGGAATGGCGCTCTTCTCCGTTAATCTCCCTATCTACTACGTGACCAAGGTGTGGTTCCCCCAATTGGGTCGCGGTCTATCAGGTCAGAGCATGTCTGACTTACCCCAAGTCAAATCGGAGACGGGCACAGAAGTGAAGCAGACACCGCATGACAAGGCCACACTCCACCGTACGGTGATCGCCGCTGCAATCGTCGCTCCATTGTGGTTCATCGCCAACTTCACGTACAACGAGAGTCTAAATCTCACCAGTGTAACCAGCAGTACCATCCTAAGTGCCACCTCCTCAGTGTTCACACTGATCCTGGCCGTCTGGATCCTCAAGGAGCGCTTTACGTGGGTCAAGGCATTGGGTGTGTTGCTCTGTATGGCTGGTAACTGCACTACATTGGCAAAAGACTCGGAAGGCGGCATCTCGGAAGGATTCTGGGGTGACATCTGTGCTCTCATCGGTGCCATTATGTACGGCGTGTACACTACAGCTATACGCAAGTACCTCCCGGACGACGCTGGCATGAGCGTGTCGCTCTTCTTCGGCTTCGTCGGTCTCTTTAGTCTGATTGTGCTCTCCATCTTCTGCATCGTCTTTAACTACACTGGAGTGGAGTCACTGCAAGGTCTCACGTGGGAGATCGTGGGCCTGCTCTTCGTGCAAGGTCTGCTGAACAACGTGCTGGCTGACTATCTCTGGGCTGTAGCCATCATGTACACGTCCACCACCACGGCCACCATCGGCTTATCGCTGACGGTGCCCATGGCCATTTTCTCCGACTGGATCGTCAACGACATCAAACCTGGTTACATCACGTTCATCTCGTCTGCGCTGGTGCTTGGCGGCTTTGTTGTCCTCGCCGTCACCACACGCAAGGAGCAATTGAGTGCCGGAAAGGAACAGGACGCCTCAAATACTGAGATCCCCTCGCCAAAGTCCCCCGCCACTCAGTACCGAATGTCCAAGGAGTAGGCAACTTAAGTAGCCCCCTCCTATCAATATGAAATGACCGTACTGTGCCGAATTACTCGACCGTTCTAGAGTTAACATGGGTTTATAAAGCACGAACAGTCGTGTGTCATTTTCAGTTAAAGTCTAGGATCTTGTAGCTCGGAGATCATGGACGTGATGATGAATATGACGACGGAGGACGTGCGGAGGCTACGGGGTCAATTCACAGAGAGTCTGGGGCTCGAAGCTTTCGTGCGGCTTATGAAGAAGAGTCTACGCGGTCGAATCGAATCCGATCTCGACTTTGTCGTTGGTGTGATCGAGTTATTCCACACGATCGATGTAAACGGCGACGCTGTGTTGGATTGGGACGAATTCACGGGTTACATGCTAGATGCCGGTCAAGTCAAAGCCGATTTCTACTTCGAAGGTCGTGGACGCTCAACCAAGCACTACGTACCGCTGAATATTTTCCCACCAGATTCTAAAACACCACTACGACATATCAATCCACGAATTCAACAAATGAGACTGCTAGCAGAGCAAAACGCTGTGGCCTACTTTGAAGCGAACTCGGACGTTGTGTACCTCTACGCTCTACAGTTCGACCGCAACGAAGGTCCTCGACATCTTTCCACGATGCGCTTACACACTGCGTTCCAAGAACATACTATTATCGACGTTGTTTATGTGCCCCCACGCAAGTCTTTAGTGACTTCTTCAGTGCTTGTACGAGGGTATCTGAGTGTTTGGAACGTGACAGATCTACACAGTCCAGTGATGACACATCGACTGGAGTCTCTTGCTGCTCACGAGCACCTGTGCTGGATTACCTCGCTGAAGTGCATGGCAACGTCAGCAGTGATCATCCCGAGTATACACTCCGGTAAACCGTCCGATCCCAAGCGAGATAGTTATCGTCCAAATGCTGGTATTGACCAGCCTCACACTAAAATCAGTCAACTAGAACTGTGGGATTTATCTGGGAAGACTCGAGCGCCTGCACCTGGTACAATTGCTACTAAAGAGGTGACGGTAGTACAAGAACGGCTCAAAGGTGTCACTGCAGTTGTAGCGTTTCGATCTCTTAATCGCACATACCTTGCAGTAGGTCGTGAAGACGGAATATTGAGCGTTGTAGATACTGAAACTGGAGAAGAAGTAGGCACGTTTGATGCGCATGGGAGTGGCGTTAAAGTTCTCGTATACTCGAACGAAGTGGAGAGCATCGCAAGTGTGGGTTTCCACTCGTACGCAGATGAGACTTCGCAACATATTTCGACCTGGAAGAAGACGAGTTCGGGTGGAATGTTGGCACATGATTCCACTCTCAGACAACATCAAGCACCTGTAGAACTGCTCTTCTTCGTGGACTCAAACCATCAACTTATTAGCGTGGATAGAACTGAGACGTTCATCGTCTTCTCGAGTGTGATGCGAACGCCGACGTCAGAGCCGTGGGAATGTCTTCAAACCTTTCAATACTCTCCACCTCCCGCATCTAACTGGCATCTACCTCAGAATTTATGGAGTATGTTTGTCGTGCCTGAAACAGCAGCTAGTGATCCGGTGCTTGTCACGGCAGGAGCCAAAGTGAAATTCTACGATTATTGCGAAATTAAAGTCCGTGAAGAAGTTTTCTTTGCGCATTATTGCAGCGCTTTGAATGTGGTTGTAGGAGTTACTAGTACCAAGCTGTTATTGTGGAAAGGAGATACGGGGGTTCTATGGAAAACGTATGAGTACGCGGGAATTGTTATGGCGAATAAGAGTCCTACTGCGAATAATGCGCAATTTAACACGAAACAGAGTATCGACCCGGAATCTCGTGAAGCACAAGCCCGAGCTATTACTGCAGTGTGTGTAGACGACAGAGAGCGGAAGATTATTGTCGGGGACGATACCGGTAGTATTAAGGTGGTGAACGCTGTCAATGGGAACGTAATGAAGGAGCTGGATCCACATACAAACTGCGTAGTGGACGTGTCTTACGTGTTGTATGGAAAGCGCGTTATCTCGATTTCGTCGGGATCTGTCCTGCACATCAGCGACGAGAACAACCCACAGGGCTTTTACGTACCGTTTGGTGGTGGGCCAGTTCAGTCCGTGTTGTTACAGTCGCTTCGCTTGCTTCCAGAGGTAGAGCAAACGGAGACGGGAACTAAAAGACCAGCGAAGTATGTGGTCTTAAAGAGCACCGGGAATGAAGCGTTAAATCTCATCGCTGTGCTTGTGGCGAATCCTCGTGGTGATGATAACTTCATCCAAGTGTGGAACTTCGACGTCAGTCACTCACAAGGAACATGTGTGGCACCGCAAGACTGTGGAGACATCACATGTTTGAGTTTCTTAGGCTCAACGGCTGATATCGTTGGTGGTACGTCAACTGGACGGGTGTTTCTATGGTCTCCAATTCCAGGAACCACGTCGTACAGGTGCAGAAAGGAATTGTCATGCTTGTCAGAAGCTTCGATCAATGATGACATTAGGCCACATACTACCATGACTCGCATAATAACTATCTGTGTCCCGGATTCCATTAAAGGGAACAAATCTACAACTTCTGATGAGGCAGAAAAGTCGACACCTGCACCTCCCCAAGAGCGTATGAATATTTACTCAACCAGACCAATAATTAAGGATCGTCTTCGGTTTGAACAAGAATATGGCGTGCACGTGTTTGCAAGCGATGAAGTAGGTTTCGTCACTCAATGGCACGTCCGACAGCACACTTTGACGTATACCGCGCTTCAAACTGGCAGACCTTCGTCCAGCAATAGTAAGTCACAACGGGATCGCGTAGGCGCATCTGGAATGGATGCTACAGCATTCCAACACGAGGAAATGGCTCTCAGTTTCGACTCGATCGCAGCTCTGTATCACCACGTCAGGAAGAAAAATTCTTCCCAACTAGAAGACACCGATGCAATATATACTGCAATGGACGTAGTGAAAGCAATTCGGCAGTGGAGAGCTCATTATGGCGCCGTATTGTCCCTAGAAATGGCAATGGATCCCCTTGCGGTGGTCACATCGTCTGTCAGTGGACAGATCAAACTCTGGGGAGTGGACGGAGTGTTGTACGGTGTACTGGATCACTTTGCTACTAGACGAGCCCCATTGAACCATCCCTGGACCTTCCCAGTTGACATGAAGGCACGTCGACAGCAACTCGAGGAAGAAGCGAAAGAATTACTACAAAGACCGCCAGGATCAGCGTGGAAGAAGACGCGTGTGTCCGTCCTAGAAGAGCGACTGTCACTGACCAAACAGGACTTGAGTTTTACACGCGAACGACTCAAAACTCGAAAGAGGAACGCCAGGGCGTCCGAAGTGGGTCGTGCCGTGCGAAACTTCATCCTCAAACAAACTACGTCGGGAGTGAATACTAAACGAAAGGATCCTTCATCTGCGATCCATCAGGACACGTCGTCACTGCGTACGTTGAGTCTTTTTGCATAGATTGACTTTCACTAACCACACTACCTTCTTTCAGACTCTGTGCTGAGAGAACTTGAGCAATTTCAGTTGCATACAGAAGGCAGCAGCGAGTGTTCAAGCAGTCGAGGCGATAGACCAGACTCTCGAGCTAAGAAATACTCCTTGGTAACACTAGCTGACGTGAAATCCGCCTTATTACGTCCTCGTACGTCCAGCAGCACGGTGCACTGCGATTTACCGTCGAACCAGCAGACCAACAACCAACGAAAGCCTTCCTATAACGTGACTCCAGTCAAACGAAAGGAACTTTACCTCAGTTCAGCTCCGTCCTCCTCAGTAAACCGCATGGAGCTCGTTGAATATCTCTGGCAAGGAGCCAAGACTTCCAACCAAGAGAAAGAACCCAGCAGCTCAAGTGACAAGTACGTAGTGGAGCATAAAGAGAAGCCTCGAGCAGACAATGTACTAAAGTATCACGTCAAGCTGGCTCACACCTGGCAGCCATACCAAAAGCGATAACCTCGCTGTAGTATAGGGATAACTTACATTCATTAGGCTTTGCTTTTCTGGCCTTGCTTCGGCTTTGAAGCTTTGTTTTTCTCCTGGATGAATTCATTTGTCTTTGCTGACCAAAAAGAAGGTTGCGAACTCGTCGGATCGTTGCTCGTTCGCGTCTGCATCGAAGGAAGAGCTTATTACTGATCGGAGATGGTTCGGGGGCACGACACGGCGCGTAGGCATCGGAGTAGCAGGTATTAAAGACCCAAAATGCTGACTCCACTAGGACTGGACGAACAGACTGCTTGGTAGAGAGAGAGAGAGTAGAGGAACACAGAGCAACTACGAGGTTCCCCTTCAGCGCATGTGGGTCATAACAGCACGCAGGCCATACATGAGTCCAGCCTGTTTGCGAGCCTCCGCGACTAGAAGAATGACGTGACACTTCTCGGACGGACTGAGTGTGCGATCGAAGTGGGCAAAGTCCTCCTCTCGCACCTTCCAAGGCGTACAGGCCACTTTCTTGAGGAAAATCTTGGTGGGTCGGTTCAGATACGTGTTCACCTGTCTGTAGTCGTAATCATCGTGGCAAATACCGAAGATGCGGTGCACATAGTACCACACAGCGTCACGATACGGACTCGTGTCCACACACTCCTCCTTCTGCGCTCCAAAGTAGTCGTACGTGAGCTTACTCGTGAGATTAAACAAGTCTTCAAGGATCTGACCAGCTTCTCCTGGGAAATACCTCTTTACAAGAGAGAAACAGTGCTCGTCCCAGCTGAAATCCTCAGTATGCAGCACCTCGTACTCCTCTGACCGAACGTCGAAGTCCGTATAGCGAATGACGCTGCCTCCACAGAATCTCCACAGTGTGTCTTTCCTGCGTCCAGCACTAGCGTTGATCCCGTAATCTGCTTCATCCACGACGACCTCGAAGCCGTCCGCTGTGTAATCTTCTTCTTCGTCTTCCTCGTCCTCTTGTTGTTCATCTGCTGCTTCTTCCTCCTCGTCCGCCGTGTCACTGTCCAATCCACTGTTCTTCTTCAGCTGTTTCAGCAGCATTTCGTCGTCGCGGTCGATGGTGGACAGGTCGACGCTACTGCAGCTGCTGGCGTCGGCGGCTTCCTGGTTGTCCACGCCCTCGGCGGCGTTCTCGGCATCTAGGGCGTATCCGAACTGTCCGAACACTGCGAGATCCACTTCTTCCGCACAGCCGACGCCCAGTGCGATGCTGGCCATGGAGTGGGCCTGACAGAGCACGATAATGGCGTGTACGAGCTCCGAGACGGACCACGAGTCGTCCTGATCCGAGCGCAGCAGCTCCGCCACGTGATCGGCAGTCAGTAGCCAGGGGCGATGGGCCAATAACGAGCTGAGTTCCTGCAGTCTGAAGAGCTTTGGAGGCACGTAGTCGAGTCCCTTGATCCACTCGCCGTCCCCGCCGTTTACTACGAAGTTGTATTGCTGCAAATCCGCCAGGTAGTGACATCGCAGCTCACTGGCGCCCATGACGGCGATGTAGCTGCGCCATTGAAGTGGTAGAGTTCCGTCACGCGTCATGGTGGCGGCTAGACTGCGGTCGAACAGCGTGAGGTAGCTAGGGTGCCACGCCAAGATCTGCGTGAGGTGCGTCACGCGGCCTGTGCGCAGGAATGTCTTCTGGAAAAGTGTGCGCAGTTCGTCGTCATCCTCAGCGTCCACGCGCGGCACAGGCTCGGCCTCAGCGTCCTCGGGTGCGTCGCCGTTGGGGAAAAAGTGCGATACGCGCGTCTGAAGTGCGCGCAGCTTCTGCGTCTCGGGAAAATTCTGCTCTACGACGTCTACTACCTTTGCGAGTGCCTCACGGATGGCCGGGAAGGGCGCGTCCAGCGTCAAGCGGAGTGCGGTGGGGAAGAAGTCGGTCACTAATGTGGCGTCCTCGCCGTCCAGAAGCTCCTGTAGCTCGTCGGAGATGCTTGCGAGCATCTGCTGCTGCACGTCGGCGTCTGATACCAGCACACGGCGGAAGAAGACGTCCCTCTTGACGCCCACACGGCGCGTGGCCTCGGCGAACGAGAGCGGCTCCATGCAATGACTTGAAGTGGGTATGGAGCTCTTGCTCTTTTGGTGTTGACAGGCAAGGCTCAACTTGTGGAATGGACACACTTTTGAACAAGCGGATCGCAGTGGGGGGAATGACATCTCTTTTTAGCCAATGAGAAAAAGGCATATCAGAGCTTCTGCCCAATCAGAGCAAGTATTGTGCTGCATAAGCTTTTTGTTAGGCAGAGAGTGGCGTCGTCGGGCCGGGAAGAATTGGACGGCCCCGTCTGCCTCAAGTTCGGAGAGCGAGCGCCTCTGGCGCCATATTCGCGAAGTGGCGAGCGGTGGCGATAGGATAGTCAGAAGTACTGCCGCCATGCCGCTGAATTTGCTGCCACGGGAAGTTATTACCATGTATTCGAGCAACACGCTACCGTTGCGCGTGTTGCTGCCAGCCATGGAATTTTTCTATTGGAGGGAAAGATCGCGCGGTAGGGGTACGGCCGGCTGTAGCTTGACTTGGCTTGACTATGGACGCCGCACTTCTCCCTGATTCTACTTACTAAGTACGAAACCGCGTGACGCGCAGTGCGAAGGCAGCATGTGAAGCAGGCATACTGAAAGCAAGTCAGCAGTCGGCCTTGCATCCGACCGACAGCTGCCACATTGCGAGTCGCAGTTTGCGACAATGCTGTACAAAATACTTCTTAACTTTCGTCCGACCTGAGAAGTTCCGAGCTCTGTGGCTCGATTCGAGCCTCGAGTGCCGCGCCATCGCCACAAGTTGGACGCCGTGTTTAGGCTGCAAGTTCAACGCCAGCAGCGAACAACCCATACTGAGCGCAAGTGTTTTCGCCCCAGTGACAAAGCCGCTCAAAAAGAGCGAGCCAGAGACCGGGCGGAAATATGCGACATGTTCAAAAACTTGAATCTTAGCGCTGCTCTTCAGCTGCATACTGAGGCCCATAGAGCACTCAAGACTCCAGGTTCCAGACTCGAGGTTCGAGACCCATCTTAGAATTTTCTTGAAGTATTTATTTTACGGTCAAGATATTTCTCTTGAACAGCTCCTCCTCGTCATGATGCTCTATCGAGGTCTCTCTCCAATGTTTGACTGTCACGGCTTCGGCGCAACAGGGGGCTGTGCTGCATGGACCAGCTTGAAGCACACACACACGCGCGCGCGCGCGCTTGATCAGTAGCGCCGCCGCCGTCCAATCTGCTCGATGGGGTGTATGGCCTCACACCCAATCCCCTTGATTATTGCGGTGGCTGCTGCCACCAGCCGGGTGTGAACATCGGGTAAAAAAACGAGCACGGGCGCGGACGTAAGCACGGCGAAAAATGGACAGAATGTTGTTTCTGCAGCCTGGTCGTCGTCATGGTTGTGGATCATTGTTGTGGGCTAGCAGTCTTCGCATCTTCAAGCAGTGCCTTATCCTCCTAGCCGCACGACATCGTCCGTCGCACGCATATCAACCGCACGACGCTGCTTTAAAAGAACTTCTTGGCAAGAACCTCATGGCAAGAAGCCGGCACTTGCACTGGAAGCTTACGCTTATAAATCCATGAATCACCGCGCAAGGCGACGACAATTATGCCTCACTGACGCTTTCGTGCTGAAGACTTCAACTTTAGCTTTCAGTCACTAAAGCGGATATCACTAAAA